TTCTGTGAATATATCTTTAGAGCGAATCAAAAATGATGCTTATATTGCTCAAACTAACTGACTGCTTGACACTACACTCGGCGGTGAAGTGAAGTGTGAGAGAGTGCCGAAGGGACGATAATAAAAAGTGAACCAAATAAAAAGAATGTCCAGTAAATTTGGTAAGGCACGAGACCATCCCATAGGAGTCGTCAACACAATTCATCATCTTGAGACCCGCGAAGTTTATTTATGAGCCCTGGCTCGGGTAAACTGTTTATGTATGCTCTAAAGGAAGCGAGGCTGGAGAGCACACGCCGAGGGCCAATATTGACTGGGCACAAACTTAACCAGTTTGACTAGGCAATGTCCTTTTAAGCCAACCAAGAGGGCGTTCCAGTCTTCTATTCCACCTTAAATTATTCATTCGCTGTATGTCACTTGCCTTGGAAATCTTCCAATGGGTGGAAGGGCGGGCTGACAGTCGTCAGTGCGTGCCGGCGCCTAATAAACTGTACTCAAAGCTCAGGGCCTCCGCCTCCGTCTCCGCATCGTATCACATCGCATCCATCCTTCCCAGAAGTGAGAAATTACGCTGACTGCCCAAATGTATGCAATAAAAATTTTTCAGCTCACGCGCGCGCACATACCCATACACAGAGGGGGAATATGGGTGGCGGTGCTCATCATGGCCAAGCCTGACGACGTCTATGGGCAGTGTGAAAAATGACAGCCAGCTGGCGGTAAACGGTAAACGAGGGGCCGAGCGCAGACACCGGGGAACAGGCGCCAGTTATTAATCTGGAGCTGGATTCGAAAGCGCCAAATGAGCCGCACTCGTCGGCATTTAGATGTTAGCTTGGGGTGCAAATAGAGCCCTAGATGGATGGGCCATCCAACAGCGGACTGGCAAACTCATTGCACCAGCATTGGCATGAGTATCAGTAGCGAATTCCACATCTTCTTCCCAGGCCAGGCAGACGGGAAGTCGGAAGGCGGGAAGGCTGCAGTGCCGAGCACAATTCCATGCTTAATCGGCACTGGTGCTGTGAAATTTAATTTGCCACTGATTGATTGCGAGCGATTTGGTGTAATGTCCCCAACGGACATTGGTGGAGGTCTGGTCCCTAGTTTTGGCTCAAACTGTTGGCCATTGTTATGGGGCCTCTTGTGCGCGCCATTTGACTTTTAACTGCTCGCTGGGCTTGGTCGTTGGACTGATTGAATGCTTTTTTGGGGTCGGAAAGCGGAAAAAGTATATTTTCGCTTGTTCTGCTCATTGAATATTCGGAATATCGACGCGTGAAGTTAGAGGGTAGAGCAACTCACTTGGCTGGAATTTTCTTCTTTCCCCTTTGAAATTTCCTGCACACACACAAACACTCACACACACACACATGTATCCCTTAATGAAATAAAATTCCAGACTGCGCTTTTGTCTTCGCAGTCTCTTGTCTCCCTCCTTGTTTTCCCTCTCTGCGTTAATTTATTGTCCTGCATCGAGCATCTATAAGCGTTCATTTCTTAAAGTTTGCCAAGTTCTTGTCGATTCATTGAATGGCCCTTTATTGAGTTATTCGCAGGCTCCGAGAAATTTATCTGGGTTTTTGCAGCTTGTCCTTGTCCCTCTGGATTTATTTTTTCATTTGGCTAGAATATTTTTTATTATACCCCGAGCTAAGAATAAGAAATTAGCTTGCACATTTCTTGGCAGTTTATACACCGAAACAAAGGACCGAGAAGTGAGCGCTGAAACTTGCCCCGCATTACCATTCTTGGCAGATCCTTTCCTTGCCAGGATTCTGGGCCATTATTAGGAAATGCCTGGCAAGGCCAAATTGGAATAATTGAGATGTTGCCAAGGCGCCACCAGCCTGGACAGTGCCAAAACTTCTTTTCATTTCAAACTTTTCGAGCATATTAATTCCTGCCTGAACGTATCGGGGGACAAATCTAAATTAAAAGCCATATAAAGCACAAATCAAATGTCTGTCTACTTAAGTCCATGCAATGTCCGGTTTTAAGCTTTATTGGCTTACAAATAATCGAATATTCATGTGGTCCTCCCATCATCTGCTGGCGCCACCGTAAACGGCATAAGACCTGTGTCCTGCCACTCCCAAGAGCTTAATTCGCCTTTCCATCAGATATTATTAATATATCCTTTATTGCCATCCGCCTGGCACTGAGACTGAGAGCAGGCACCACTTCATCTTCTGAGCAACAGCAAACAGCAAACTACAGACGGAAAACGAATTTCGTCTTTTGGTAACTTCAGCATGGATTGTATTTTGCAGTAAATATTTAAAAAGAGATAACCGGCTGCAGAGAGAGACGCATCATACACAAAGGACTGGAGCAGTAATACTTCCTTTCTTCCTTAATGCTGCTCTTAAAAGTATGAAACATGTCCCCGAGCTGAGCTGCACATTCAAATAAAGGTCTTACAAGGTTTTGTGAGCCACAGAAGCGAAACAAGGGCAGCCCGGACACAGGCAAATGCAACTATCGATGCCAGTTGAATGCAAATGCTAGCAACTGGGAAAACGGATTTATGAAACAAAAGATATTCTCGACCGAAGTTGGGGAAGTTGTATGCTCCTGGGAGTATATTTTTCTTAGTCTAATCTGAGCACACAAAAAAAAATTCGACTGCAATGTTCTAAAGGAGTGCCGTAAACTGTGCGAGAAATGCTCGCTTTGAGCATCACTCTGTCTCCTGGGAATATGTTCACCGAGTACAACAGACCCGCACATACATACATTTCTAAGCACACATACGCTCCCACAGAGTGGCAGTCAATCGAGAGTGAAGGAAAAGAGAAAAAAGTTGACGGGACTGCAGCCTGCAGTGGCATGGAAATAGTTCGATTGTAGCAGGGAAAAAATGCTGTAGGTGCAGAGAAAAAATAAGGCATTCGCCATGTATGCTTGTAAGCTAACTTTGAAATTTGATAAGTCGGCACAAGCCTGCTCCTAATTGACAGGCACATTGACGCATTGCGTATACGCCTCCAAAGCCTCCATAGCAAGTTAACCTTTCCCATGCTCCCATCCCAGAGCGTATTTGCTTGCGGTCCGTATAACTAAATAAAAAGGCATCACGAATGAATGACCCAAAGCCCCGGTGCATAGAAGTGCTCGTAGTTAACATCAATCTGGACAAACAAATGCGCCCCAGCACACACATCTTCCATTGAGAGCCATCTACCATATGCAAATGGCAGTCAAGTGGGCTGTATAGCCGCAGGAGTGCTGGACGCTGAAGTGGGGGGGGGGGGCGACGAGTGCTGTGGTCAGCCAATCAAGTCTCTGTTTGCACGAGAAAAGGTGAATTTTAAAGTTTCAGCAACAGCTGCAGCTTTGTGGTTAGTTCTGTAACTAGCAGCTGATTTCTTTGGGCTCAAATTAGGCAGCCTTTAGAGGCACCTTTTCAATGGAAGGTTGGGAAGGGTGATAAAGATTGGGCTATGGAACGATGCAAAATGCAATAAACATGAATTTCAGCCCCGTCTGCCATTAAACGAAGCATGCAATTCTCCGCAGCGACAACAGTCGGCAGCCAGGGCATGATCCAAGGGTAGAGAACAGCGGGGCAGGGCAACAGAGTTCCAGAGTTTTGTTGTCCATTTACGTCAACTGTTTTATTCGAGCACCCCACACATACACAGAAACAGAACAAACAGAGATGGATATGTGAAGCTGGAGCTGAAGCTGAAGCAGGAAAGAGGGCCACAGGAAGGGGAGAGAGTGCTTGCTATTTGCCAAGCAGTTTCAGATAGATACATAGATAAAATTGAACTGGGATTTGGGGATTGCACAAAAGTAACTGAGCAAATTTCCGCAGCTAGTTGAGCTTTTGTGCGCTGCTGCTGCTGGCCTGCTTTCCAACTTCTGCTGCAAGCCAAGCAAATTGAATGCTGATGCACAGCATCAGAATCAACAGCAGCGGTGGAGGCCACTAAAAGTTTGCCAAAACTGGAGCGATGTGTGCGCTTGTTAAGTGGCCAAAGTGCGTTCAATTTAAAGTGCGCCCATAAAGCAGTTCGCTGGGTCCATGTTCAGCAATTAAAGACAGCCCCGACCGACGCATCGGGGATGCTGGTGCCACTGCTGCAGCTGGCTGGCAGCAATTTACAAACAACAGGAAATTGCATCTGGCACTCGGCGCTAATTCACACCGGAAAAGCAGCGACACACATCGCATCCCTCGCATCGCAGGACGTCTTATGTCGCTGACTCTGCCTGTGACTGGGACTCCTCCGAATCGACCCAAGAACCGTCCATGAACTCGCAGGGGGGCCACAGACAATGTGCAGCTCCGTTTATTAATAATGCATCCGTCGCTGTTGGCTGCTTCTGGCCCCGCGTCGAGCTTTGTGTTCTACCCGCGAGTGCTTTCCTTTCATTTCCTATTTGCAGCCCGTCATTTGTAGCAGCAGCAGCAGCAGTAGTATCAGCTTAAATCCTCATTAGCGCTGATTTAAGGTTTTAAATAAAATTCTGCTCCCCGAGCAATGTTTCCTTTGAAGCTCGACGATGTCTATCAGCTGGCAATTGAAGACACTGTGAAACATAAGCTAAAAGTATTGGAACAAAATTATTCCTTCCTTCAGAAGCAACAGAAAAAGTCATGTTTCCCTTTAAATTCAAAGAGCGAAAGTACAACTGCGAAACTGTGATGGGGCCTCGAGACGTGGTCACCGCAAACAACAGGGGCATCGTCAAAGACATGCACTTTCCGCCCCAAATCGCACCTTATACACCCCATATTGATCAACGGCGAGGGCGGAACGAAACCCCACTGCAGAGCGATGAATTATTGCGGCTCCTGCATTTGACATTTATGTGCGGGCAAGGTAGCTGCCAAACGCCCACAAGGGCACAGAAAATATGTGGGCGTAGCCCTGGCAAATGGAGATTTGATTTGCCAGACGCACGAAGTCAAGTTCTTTCTTGTCGAAATAAGTCAGAGGAAGTTAAATCATTTTTTTTCAAACTCCACAAACTTTCGCTTAGAACTATGATAGCAGTTGAAACTTTTGGAAGCAGGCCAGCTCCTGAATGTGAATTTCGATTTTATAGAGATAATAGCAAGCATGTTATCAAGCATTTCACTGGAATTACCTTGAAGAACGAGAACGAGAGAGAAACCCAGCCTTGTATCTTCAGATTGCATTTTCTTTATCCAGCCAACAATTCCTTCTGGTCCTTTCTGCTTTGAGAACTAGCCGGAATATTGCTGGATAATAAGTGGTTCTATGGTCTATGATTACCATTCAATACACTTAAATTATAGCGCTTTTTGTCAGATAATTTAAAGTGCCATTCAATCAGCTGAGAATAGCTTAGTTTCAGTTGAGCGAGGCCATCGATTCGAACCGTGTCTGTATATTTAATAGAGTATTTTCACTATTTGTCGAATTATTGAACAAAACCAATCCGAAATCGGGCCTGCATTTCACACTCGGAAATTAAGCACAGACCGCAACTAATCCTATTTTAGTTTTATTGTTCGCCCTGGAATATTTTCCCATTTCCGATCCGATTTAATATCATGTCAAACATAAGCTTTCCTTTCTTTCTTTGCTCTCTGTGTTTTTTTTTATTATTTGCCACACACACACACTCACACTTGCTTGCTTTCTCGCTCGCAAACGCATGACAAATTGTTTATTTTGGCGTTTAAGTTCTTCTTTTTTTTAATACTTTGCATTTCACTTTTATTTCGGTTTCGGGTTTGCCAATCGATGGCATTAGTGAAAAATCAATTGAGCGATGGCAGCAATCAAAATCGTAAGCCACGAAACCAAAACCGCACATCAGTTGTGCCCCTTGTTTGTTGTTTGTGTTCGCTTCACTCTGACTGCCTCAGTGTATGTGTGTGTGTGTGTGTATGTGCGAGCGTGCTGGTGTGAGTGGCTGCTTATGGGTGGGTGTGTGGCATGGCATGTGCGTGTCTGTTTGCACTGCGACTTAAATCGCCTTTGACAGGCTTCTGAAATATACGATTTTTATTAAATTTAGCAATTTTGTGAATTTATTTTGAGAGCAAGCAAAGTGGAATCACGCATACGCCCATTGAGCGGGTGTTGCCCCCACAATTCTCTGCCTCTATCCAACTATTTTTAAACTGACAGAAAGTGGCTTGGTAAAAGAGTGTTTCCAATTGTCCATGATTTAAAAATTGTGCAGCTTTTAAAAATTATATTTGAACCAAGTCAAGTGGAGTTTCCAGAGCGCCGTGACACACAGTCTTTGCAACTATTTTCTCATATGAATAGTTGACGCATGTCTCGCATATTCTCATCGGGCTGCAATGAAAAGCGAAATTAATTACGCACTTTCAGTTTAACACCGCACTTGCAATCCCTTCTTCGCCTTGTCGTCTAATTTCTGTTTTGTATATTTCTCTCATGCACTTGGCCCCCTGTCTCGAGGGAGAGACATGAGAGAGGGCCATTTGCATTCAGTTTTTCACTTTTTTATTGTCTGTTTTAGTTTCCGTTTCGGTTTGGTTCGGTTTCAGTTGGAGTTTCGTTTTCTGTTGCTGGATTGTGTCTTTTCTTGTACTAAATTACGTGCAACTATTTTTTATGTGCCCGCGCCACTGCTTCTGTTTTGAAGACTGTTGTTTCTGGGGGGAAATTCTGGCTGCGTATCGCAGGAAAAAAATGCATCACGTTCATTGAAATGGGCTCCAAACGAAAAATTAAAAGTGAAAAATATTGTGTGGCTATAAAGTGGGAAAAAAGTACAAATTAGATGGGCAAATTTCTGCGCAATTTCACTGGAAGTTGACCCAGATCCACAATAGTTCAAGGAACCTCCAACTGTGGGAGGAATCTTTCTGGATTTCCTGTGGCATTTATTTTCGTTTTATATATCTGTTGATCTAATAAGCCTGCCATGCAGGTTTTCCTTTTATCTAAGCATAAACCAAAACAAGTTCTTTGGATTTTGAAGAGCTTGTCGGAAAAGCCACTAAGCCCTGGCCCGACACTCACATGTTTCACGCGTACTTCACATTAATTTCACTTTCTTTCGCACACACAGAAAAGAGAAGAGAATCGACTTTAATGATATAGTGGGGCGGACGGAGGAACAACTTTGATATCAACATAATTAGTCACGTAGCTGTTATGCTTGTTTTAATGTGACTGCGAACGCGTTCATAATGCTCCATTATGAATGAGTGTGTGGTGTGGGGCATGTGGCAGGGCAGGCAGGGCTAGCAGGGCGGGGCACAGCAGCTGCAAATGTTATAAAATAAACAAATTATAAATGAGGAGGAAGCGCCGAAGATTTCGCTGTAGCTGTGGCTCTGTGGCTGTGGCCTGCCAATAACTTGTAATTAACGTTATTGCCACACGGCGGCGGCCATTAAGGGCACTGCAGATGGAGGCTTGCGGTAAGAACAGAAACAGTTACCCAAAGGTTACGTTTGCTTCCCCCATCATAATTCGCACCCTCAAAAACGGTCCAACGAATATCTCTCTCGCTCTTGTGGCTTCATTTAAATTTATTTTATCATCATAATTACGCGTATCCAGAACAATGGGCGCGCCGTTGATGTGGGAACTGCTTTTGGGCTGAGCTGCACAGCCGCTAAGTTGTCGAGGAAAAGATTACTTAGATTGTATCCAACAGATCCAACGGCTTGAGCAGCCGCAGTAGCTGGAAGATTTATGCACTCACCGATGCCGGGGCAGAACTTTCACGAAAAAGTTCACAGACCACAGACCGCTGCCAGCAAACATTCGCCTCGACTCGCCCCGGCTCGACTCGACTCGAACGTGAGCGTGCTACGTGAGACGCATGCGTCCGTGGCTATGCCTGTGGGTCTGGCTGCGACACTACAACTCACTCAGAGTTTGAGTCGAGTTCGGTTCGAAAGTAAAATTAGCAGAGGCGTGAAAATTATTCAGCTCTCGGGGCGTTTAGAATATTGGAACGTAGCTAGAGTTGGAGTTGGAGCCGCTGGAGCCTGCCACTTTGCCGTCTTTTGCATGCGGCAAGTTGAAACGGGCATGAGAAATGCGACAGGCACGTAATCTGTGTCGCTGGGGTAGGGGCACAGTCTGGTTGTTGGAGATGTTTGAGGAACTGTGCTCTGACCTTGCGCTAGAAAATCCGTTTGGGGGAAAACTCTCTGAAAAGCGAAGCGGAGGCTGGGTGTGGGACCAGGCCACACTGCAGCCTGCCGCTGACGAATGCTTTTGTGGCGATGGTTTTCGAATGGGCGAAAGCTGAATGCCGTTTTGGTTATTTTCACCCACGACGATGGCAGACGACGCTCGTCAAATGTAGTTTAAGCAATGAAAGCGCTCAGTTGGCTGGCCATTTATCAAAAGGCTGCAATTGAAATGCTCGGCGCACATTTTGCTTAGAAATCTGCTCACCGCTCAACAGAAAATTATATACATACTCGTACCACCAGCAACTAACTTGGCCCAACGAGCAGTGCAGGTGGCAGGGCCGCCAGCCGCCTTGTGCAGAAGGGAATACAAAAATCTCCCATAAAAACTAAATCGCAAGAGTCAATTTCCACACAGAGAAAGACAGATAGAGAGATGGAGAGAGATAGCCAAACATTTGGGCACTAAAGTAGTGAAATAATTTTCGTTAATCGAAAGTTGCGACGCACGTTTAAGTTGACTCTGCTGTGGCAGGGCAAAAAACATCAAAAAGACACAACGAAAATAAGCCAAAACGACACGCTGCGCTCATAAAAAGACAATAAAAAAGTGACATTTTGGCCGAAAGCTATTGGCATAAACGGAGGCAGGGCAAAGGGCAACAGGCTAAGGGGGCAGGAGGAGCAAATCAAATCACAGTCAAAGTGGAAAACAACAATGCCGAAGCAGCATTATTGACAATTTACTTGGACTTGACTCTGACACTCGTACAAACAGACACTCGGACATACGAACATTGTGTTGGCTGTTTTTTTCTTTTTTTCTCTTTTTTTTCGGCCAAAAGCCCATCCTTCCGTGCCACCGTTCAGACTGCTCTTGGCTGTTGCTTTTCGCTGTTGACTGTTGGTTGTTGTGTTGGCTGTTGGCTGTTGGCTGTTGATTGTTGGCTGTTGATTGTTGGTGTCTCTTCCCACACGCAACGTGCAAATACTTTGGAGAGTCCGTGTAAATGCTCGTGTGAGTGTGCTTTTTTGGCCAAGAAAAGTGCTTTATAAGTGCCACTCCATCAAATCAAAATCAGCCGATTCAACAAAACGAAAGTAGTTTGTTCTATGCTCAACGCTATTAAACTTGATGGCCGAATGAAAACATAATTACATGGCCCGCAAGCAGCTGGGGTAGCTCGGGTAGCTCGGGTAGCGGCCTAACATTTCCATTATTCGAAATTGAAAAACAAGACCGGAGCCGACAAAGACGCGAAAAAAAGCTGTCCAGAACATGATGTGTCGTTAGCCAGCTGGACCCTGGGGCCATGGCTTGATTATAGTGAGCAACGTGAAGACATGAAATTCAGCCAAAGAAGATTCGCAAGCAAACAGTGGCCATTCCATTCCGAGATAGTGACAAGAACAGCCAGAGAATAGATCAGTTGTCCCACTGTGACAGCCAAGAAGCACCCATCCCATCCCCATCCCCACTTCCCTCTGAATTTCTGCCTTTGCCATTGCCTTTCCTTTCTTCAGCTGTATTTAATTCTGTAATCAGCGGCATGGTGTACCCATGTTGCACATTTGATTTTTGGCTTTGCATTCGAAGTAGACATTGTTGAGGAAGTGAAGCACAACTTCAGGGAATTATATTCTATGCATTCCAAAAATTTCTAGCCTATATAGAGCATCCATCCATAATTAAGATAAGAGAATAGGGTATCCCCTAGTTGATATAGCTAATGTGGCACTGCTGCTTGCTTAATTTTTTTGTTTCCTCTGTGGAGTACGATTTTTTATTAATTTTGTTTGTGTTTCTGGGTCAATTCCACAGACGGAAGCCGTTTGACTAGAATAAACTTTTTCCACTCTTGCGCGCAGCTTTGTGTGAGGAGACCAGTCCCCAGACTGGCAAAAAGACAGAGGGATATTATTTTGTGGGCCTTTGTTAGCTGCTTTTCTTAACACTTTATTTATTATGTTTTTCGCGGACTTTCTTTGTCAAACTATGTATTTTTTTTTTCTTGCTTTTCGGCTTTTTCGTCTTTTGAATGGAACTGGACAAAAAGAGAAGCGCCATGAAAAGGCAAACCTATAGAATTGTGAGTTATAGGGCTTTTGCCATAATTAACTTTTTTCGCTTTGACTGGCGATTTTATATTGAATGCGAATTACAAAAGGATCGAGGGAAAAGCAAATATCTGATAGTTTATTGAATAGGTGCCCGATATGGCAAGCAACCGACTTCTGCCGTAGAGAACCAGTGCCAAGCAATGAAAACATGTGGAAAAAAAAGGATTTAAGTCGAAAGCCAGACAAAGCTGCTCCTACGACTTCTCCTGATTCATTTCTTCCTCTCATTCTTTTCGATAAAGAAACTCCTCTGGCTTCTTTCTCTCTTTTAGGAAAGGAAAAGAAAAAGAAAAGGAACAACAAAAAAACATTGACAAAATAATTAAATAATAGCCCCGAGCGCAGTCTGCTTGGACAGTCGCTCTGCTCTCCGCCCCACAAAAAAACTAATAAGAATCATATTTTTCTCTGATAAAGAAGCAACGGAAACAGAGACAGCGAGCTGTCCAACCCGCTTGGCTTTTCAGAGAGACAGCCGAACCCGAGACTGTGACATGGCGGGGGGAGGAGGAAGAGCTGGAAATGAGACAGGGGGAACATGAATAAATAAAATTAAATGCAGCAG